CCTTCCTTCCTTCCTTCCTTCCTTCCTTCCTTCCTTCCTTCCTTCCTCTCTCCTCTCTCTCCCTCTCCCTCTCCCTCTCTCTCTCTCTCCCCGCACCCCAGATTACTGTTACCAGACTCCTGAATGAATACTTTGTACACTTTGTATACCTACATTTTTAATAGTAAGTGTAGGTCCATAGATTGCCAAATGTAATGTGGAAGTAAAACAACATTTTAAAATTCTCTTGAAGAAAAAAAAATACAAAGACACCCATAAGTATACAAAATATATGTATAACTTAAAAGGAAAGGAGGAATTGCAATGCATACCAAACCACATCTCTAACTGTTGTTAGACAAGATATTATGTCCTGTACTGCCTTGTAACTTCCAGTCGAAGAACAACGTCATGTACATTATCACATTATTAGAAACTGCTTTTCAGGTGATGAAGGTAAAGTATTTTAATTGCTAGATCTTCCTTAAGAAAGGTTTGAATTTCCTCAAAGAAGCATTTTATACAGATCAGTGGATTAAATTGCTCTCCTGGGTAATTAAAAGATAGTTGCATTGTACTTCTCATATGTAAGTACTATTAAAATTGTACATTCTGTCAGTTCACATAATACAGCTTTCAACTCTTGAATAGAAAACTAATCTAAAACTAAAATATATAGATTGCAAAGTCACAATGACAAGTAGACCATGAACTTCTTGAGCATCTCTGAATATATCTAATATAGAAAAGCTCATCATCTTAAGTAATTGGCCCTCCTGTCAAATTCCTGTAATTATTCCTCAAATATCTTTAAGCAATTTTTATTGAATTCAGTTGAAATAACAGCCTTCTCTATCTTGAGGTCAAATGAGTGTAAAGAACTGGTGAGGTCCAGTTCTTGAAGGGTGTTTTCATATTACCTCAATCACCTCATCTAAGCTTATTTAAGGTCATAGAATTTACATTTTTCTGGCCTAAGAAAATTAATGATAGGATTGAATGCTGAAAAAAACTTAAAGCAGTTTCTGGGAATGTAAATAATGAAATCAAAATGTCATAAAATGTAGGACACCAGAAAAGAGAAAGAGCAGAGACTTATTAGCTTGAATCTGGCAAGTGCTTGTTAGATTGTGATTTATTCCACATAGTCAAATCACAAAGGTTCTAGAAGGATTAAGATGACGCATATACAAGCCAAACTGACAATCAAAATTGTAATGCATCTTAGTTGAATGTTCATTGAGAAGGTTGGCTTCTTACAACTAAGGCTTTGCAAAGCTTTTATTGAATCCCGCTTTAAACTGAAACTTCAAGACACTGAACAAGAATCTAAATCTACTCTCCAAATTTGCAGGGTAGTCATAGGTTCAATGGACTTTCTAGATGCGCAGAATTCGAAACATTCAAGTGAACAAAGCAGAGGGGCTGATCAGCACTGAGAGGTGCAGTGGGCTCTGAGATATTGGCACAAACAGTGGCTCAAATAACTGGCTAATGACTTAATAACACCTGCAAATCCTCTTTGCCAGAACAATGAATGCTGCTCAACCTCACTTTCACTAGAATGTTTTCATGCAGGTTTTCTGGGAAGGAAAGAAATATATTCAGATTTATTCTGCTATTTATATTTTATACCTGTTTGAGTTTTTAATTACTTCCCCAATCTATAATCCTTAAATCTCATATCTATTTGTCTGTCCTGTAGTATAGCCCCTGTTATTCTCACTGTCCAGTTTGTCTACAATTCTTTATTTCCTCAGTTCCACTTTCATCCTTTTTCT